TGTGTGTGTGTGTGTGTGTGTGTGTGTGTGTGTGTGTGTTCTCTGCTTCTGCAGGTTTGAGGTGATCCACACGATCCACAGCAACTTCATCGGCTGGGATCTGGAGATGTACTGGCCGCAGGCGGACAGGCCGGCCGAGGCCAGGAACACCTCTCTGAACGAGGAGCTGGGCCAAGTGGGATACCTGCTGAGCGACAAAACGGGGACTCTGACCCAGAACCGCCTGCTGTTCAGACAGTGCTGCGTAGCGGGGGAGATATTCGGTGACAGCACGCATTCCTTTCATTGTGAAACGGACAAAAACAAGCAAAAAAGCTATTCTACTGACTATGGTTACAGGTCTTTTTGTTCATACCGAATCTCCAAACACATTATCCATGTATTCCTTCTTACATTGGCTTTCAGTTTTGACTTCACATGGCATAAATTAGCTTCTGTGTCATCTTTAAGGTCATATCAGAAAATATGACCAGAAAATGCTAACTATAAAGTCAAGACAAGCAGTTTTAAGAGAAGCAAGATTTTTTAAGAGCTCAGTAATATGGAAATAGCTTTTGTACCTCCTAGAAATATTATTGTAATAAAGTTGTATTGTTAAAAGAATTATTCTGACTCTTAGATGGCAAAGGGTCACAAGTTTAGCATTGTTTCCAATCATTAGCAGAAATGAAACTCTGATTTCCTTATCCCAGAACATTTAGAAAAATCTGACACTTTCACTTGAATCTGTTCCCAAGAAAGTTTGAGGTTACGAGACTGAATGATTTTAGATGATTAAAACACGAGTTTACGCTCTGTTTCTTACAGTGGAACAAATATCCCTCTGGAGGCAAAAACTTCCATGGAAATGACTCTCTTTCCTCCAGAGGGACAACCAGAGACACTTTCCATGCTCATACGCAACGGCCGTCTAGTCATCTTTTAAATATTTAATATTGTCTCTGCCCATGGAAGACAAAGTGTAACCGACACCTTGTTAAAATCACATCAGCCATATGTTGTCTTCCTGGTTGATCCCATTCATCTGTCTGCTTTTTCCATTATCGTTAACGTCATTCATTTTTGCTGGTGATTAATATCTCCATCTCTTTACTAGGGGATGCGTCTGCCAGGGCAGAAGATGTGGAGGTATTATCTCGCTGTAAACCTTTTCTCTGGCCTGTTTATGACCTGTTGGACGTTTTCCCCCTGAGTTTAATGCTGACATTTGGTCTCTCTGTTTGAGCAGATCATGGATTTGAGCTGGAATCCCTTCTCCCGCGGAGGCCTTTACATGTCAGCCCCCGGGCTTGTGGAGAGGCTCAGAGGCCAGCGGTGTCCGCACAGCAGGCAGTTTCTCAGAGCGCTGGCTTTGTGTCACACTGTGATGGCAGAGTGGAAGGAAGGTGAGGCTGTGTGTCCTCATAATACTCAGTTCACACCGATACTGGTCCGGTTTTGTCCTCATGATCTGAATTCAGGTCTGACATCAGCTGGCCTTTTGTTAGACTTATTACATCGGTTCAGAGAGGTGTTAACCTGATTCTTTACTTGGAAACCTGAGAATAAACCAGAGTGGATCAAAAGTATATTAAATAACATTTATTGGACACAGTTAAGTGTATCAGCTGGGCTCTAACAGACAAAAACCTCTCTCTGGGTCTCAGTGGGCAAAGAGCTCTGAGATCTGGGTGATGGGCATTATCTCCTGGGCTCCATCCGCCTCCTCAAAGGAGGACTGGACACAACCAAGTCCTATTGGCCAGTTACCTCTGGGCAGGAACAGGCCAGGTCCTAATTCATGCAGATGACAGGAATGTGCTAACAAATGGTGTGTGTGTGTGTTGACCTAAAGGTGGATCTAATGCAATAGAAAGAGAAAAAGAGAGAAAAGTAAGAAAAGAAAAGAGACTTTAACACCAAAATATAGTTCTAAAAAATACGAAAATCGTAATTAACATAGCATACTATGCTAAAATGAATGGAAAGTGGTAACAAAGTTTGTGTTTGTTGACTTAATGACGTGTGTCTAATCTAACAGAAAGAGAAAAGAGGGTCTGTGGACACAGCCAGAGACTTTAACACAAAAATATCGTTATAAAAGAAAATAAAACAATCAGTAATTTACATAGATCATGTGATAGCATACAATGCTAAAGTGAGTAATTATAGCCAAATTCTGACACTAGCATGGATCTTAGATCTTGGACTGGCTGTCCCATTCCTGTGAGACGGCTTGTTTACTTCCACCTAACGCATTTACTGCCTCCCCTCAGAGATTCCCGTTTACCAGGCAGCCTCCCCGGATGAGGAGGCTCTAGTTGGAGCAGCCCGGGAGCTGGGCTGGGTCTTTCTCTCCAGGACGAGGGACTCGGTGGTGGTCTCTGAGCTGGGCGCCGTCCGTCAGTACGAGCTGCTGGCCCTGCTGGACTTCACCAGCAGCCGCAGGCGGATGTCTGTCCTGGGTGAGAACACACCCCCATTTCATCACTAGTTGCCTCAGATAGGTTTGTTTAAAGGGGACATAGTAGGCGAAACCAAGTTTTTAATGATTTGATTATGTACATTTGGGACTGTGGAGGGCCTATCAGCAGGCAAAGTGTGAAAAAAAAGACTCAGTCATGTTTTTGTGGGCCGCCTCAGTCTGAATCCAGGAGATAAATCAGGAGGTTTCAGGAGTGGGTAGTTTCTGACGTCATTAGCCCTAGCCCATTTTAATATTCCAGCCTTTCCCCTGCATGTTGCCCCCCCCCCTCAGCTTACTCCCCTATCTGTGGAGACGTCGTGGTAGCGTGAGCGTTAGCATGGTAGCGTTAGCGTGGTAGCGTTAGCATGGTAGCTTTAGCATGGTAGCGTTAGCATGGTAGCGTTAGTATGGTAGCGTTAGCATGGTAGCGTTAGCGTGCCGACGTGGGCACACCTCCCGGAAGAAGTGGGTGGATTGCCTGTGTCTCATTTGCATTTAAAGAGACAGGCACTCCAAAGCGAGCGCTCTGAACGGGGCTGTTTTGGGTTAGGGTTAGGGTTAGGGTTAGGGTTAGGCAGGGGGACTGAACTGCTATTGGGCTTCATCCTTATGGGGTTTTGACCAAAGCTTGTCACAGACATTACATTAGGACACCAGGGAACAAGTTTAACTCGTTGAAATAGGGTATAATATGACTCCTTTCAGCCTTAAATAAAACCGCTTTTCTTTTCCCGTTTTTTCCCCTCAGTGCGTGAGCCTGACGGGGCGCTGAAGCTTTATTGTAAGGGGGCCGATGTGGTGATTCTGGACAGGCTTCAGAAGGACTGCTCATATCAGGAAAGCACGGAAAAGGCCCTGGAGGTAAACTCCTGTCTGCGCTTTTCCCTCTTATTATGATATAAGATGATATAAGATACAGTGGGGGAAATAAGTATTTCACCCCTTTTCTGATTTTGCAGGTTTGACCACTTACAAAGAATGCAACGATCTATAACTTTAATCATATGTACATTCTAACAGTGAAAGACAGAATCCCAAAGAAAATTCCAGAAAATCACATAATATGAATTTATAAAAATTGATAACCATCTGATGAAGAAAAATAAGCATTCTATGTAAGTGGGCAAACCTGCAAAATCAGCAAGGGGTCAAATACTTATTTCCCCCACTGTGTATGATATATATGATATAGGATATAAGATATTTATTCCAGTCAGTGTTTCCAGTTTCTGATCTGCTGTGTTCCAGGGAGATATTTGTGTTAGTGGACTCAGGTTCAGCCCTGCTGAGGCTCCTGTTTTCCTCCTGTTGATCTCTCCATTTCTGCCTCAGAGCTCACTGGGTGAATAACGTGCAGCCTCTCAGAAACCCTTTCGCCTCGTGTTCTCAGCTCTTTGCTGAGGCCAGCCTGCGGACCCTCTGCGTGGCGGTTCGATCCGTTCCCGAGGCTTCCTGGGAGCGGTGGAGGAAAACTCTGGCCCTGTCTGCTGCCATGGCGACCCGCGAGCGCGACGCGCAGCTGGAGAAGCTGCACGACGAGATGGAGAGAGACCTGCAGGTGAACATCCCCAATATTCTCCTTTCAGAGAGGCTGACGCTGTTTTCCCAAATGTTAACCCTTTAAAGCTAAATAAAACAAAACAGAAAATTACTTTTTTTTGGTTCGAAGTCTTTATTTGGCCTTTTAACAAAATATGTAAAAAGAAAAAAGAGAAATACATTTTTTATATTAATAATTTATTACTATGCAATAAGTCAAGATTATTTTTGGTGTAGTCTTCTGCCCCCTGTTATCAGGTGTATCTGATTGTGTAAAATAGGATTTTGAGCAAAGTTATTACCAATAAATTGTGCAAAAGGTGTCAAACGCAAAACATTTCAGAAACCATCTGTATCAAATTTGATACATTTGGCATTATAGGGTTAAACACACTTACCTGTTTTGATCATTTTCAATGCATGAATAAAGTGAACCTCTGGTTCTGAATGATAAATATGAATCCATTTGCAGCTTCTAGGGGTGACAGCGATAGAGGACCGGCTTCAGGAGGGAGTTCCTGAGACTATTGCTCTTCTTCAAGAGGCCGGGATCAAAGTATGGGTGCTGACTGGTGACAAAAAAGGTAACTTTGGGAGCAAAGAGGCCTATTGTCTACATTTTGAATGCCAAACTAGAGCTATTTGTCTTTCTCCCTCTGTCTTTCCCCCTTTTCCCTGCACTGGCAGAGACGGCTGTGAATATCGGATACTCCTGCAAACTACTGGATCCTAACGCCAGACTCTTGGAATGGCAGGAACTGAGGTTAGCGATGATGAAAAGCTCCAAATAAATAAACACAAAAAAAAGCACACAAACTCACACCATCAAATCGATCCATCTTTGTTCGCTCACACAGACAGATCCTCCAGTCGCCCGACCCGGAGGTCAACTTCCTCAAGATCAGGCAGGCCGAACTGTGGGCAGCACACAAAGAGACGGTCAGAGAGAAGACTTCTGTGGTCCTCACCGGAGACGAGCTGGTAAACAACCCCAAAAAGTCTTCCAGATGGAAAGTTTGAGCAAGGTTATGTCTTATGTAAATATCTTTAGTTTGCGTGAGAGGCATCGAGAGGCCATTGGACAACTGGGTTCCCTCTTAGATGAAGAAAAATGGTGGAATTTATGTTAGTAAAAGTTTTCAGGCTGTGCGTTAGTTTTTTTGTTTTCCCAAGAAATATATTTGTTGACAGAAAG